ACAGAGGGGGAGGGAGAGGGGAAGTGAGAAGAGAAGGAGACTGGGGCGGAAGGGTAAAAGGGGGAGAGGAGGGAGGGAGGGAAAGAGAAGAAAGGAGGGAAGGAGAAAAGGAGGAGAAAGGAAAGGAGAGAGAGAGAGAAGGGGATGCAGGAAAGAAAAGAAAGGGGAATGAAGGAAGATGGTGGGGGGAGGGAGAGAGAGGAAGAAGCGGGAGAGAGGAGGGAAGAGGAGGAAGGGGGAAGAGAAGGGAAGCACTGGATGGGGCAATGGATTTGGGAGGGGGGAGGGAGAATGGGGAGCAGGGAAGGTGTGCAAGGGAGCAAGAGGGGGTAGGCGGAGAACAGAGAAGGAGGAAGAGAGGGAGAGAAGGAGAGAGGGCCCCAGGCTGGAAAAGACCTGGGAGCAGGGAAGTGAGGGGATGGAGAAAGAGGGAGGGAGGGCAGAGAAGGGCGAGGCCCGGAAGGGACAAGAGGGAAGGCAACGCTTTGAGGGAAGTATGGGGAGGGGGGAGCCAGAGGGTGGAGGGAGAAGAATGGAGGTGATAGGTGCTGTTAGAGAGTGAGAGAGGCTGGGACAGGGAGGGGGCAGGAAGGAGCGAAGCTGGGCAGAGGTGAGAGGAAGTAGCATGAAGGGAAGGACAGAGGGGGATGAGGGAGAAATGGAGAGACCACAGGGGAGGGGAGAGATGGAGTGGGGAAGGGGGTGTCTCTTGAACCCCCCTCTCTGTCCCCTTCATCCGCACCCCAGCGCCCAGAAAGCAGGCTCCTCAGGCCCATTTTCCAGATGAGGCCACTGAGGCTTTCAGAGGAGGGGGTGAGTTCAAACCCAGAAGCCTGTGCTCTGGGAGCCTGAGGGAGATGGAGCAGAGGTGGCCCTGGCTTGGAGCCCTTGTCCCCAGCCTGGCCAAGTAGGTTCTGTCAAGGGAGGCTGCCCTGGGCGGCCGAGAGCTTGGGCCCCACAGCTCCTCCCCGTTCCTCTCACCTCCCCAGGTGTTGCGGCCGGCGCTGGGAGTACATTTAGAGCTGTGAAGCTGCACCTTGGGTGCGGGAAGGGGGCAGGGAGGGTGTGGAGGAGGCCTCAGAGAGGTCATTGCGCCCCCCACCCCACTTGCTGGCCTGTCTACTCCCCCAAAGGCCCGGGTGCCAAAGTTGGGGGACATTGGGAATTCAAGGGCAGAGAAACCCAGAAGGGAGCTGGAAGGAGGCAGCTCCAGTCTAGGGCACTGACCTTCCTCTGAGGTGCTGAAATTAGGGCAGACATTTCACACCTGTCTTGTCCCCTCAAAAAGTCCGGCTACTAATTTAGGGCATGGAGGAGGGAGAAAAGACAAAGGGTCCTTCCCCTAGTCCCAGGATCCCACAGAGACCAGAGACGCTCGCCTTTTGCCCTTCTCCTTCCAGAGCCCCAGGAAGGGCCAGGGTGATTCCCTGGCCCCACGGGCAGAACCCAGAACTAGGCAGCAGGGGCCAGTCTGGGCGGGTAGGGGGCTGCTGGGAGGCTGGCAGGAAACTGGGCCAGACATCTGTGAGGAGCCAGGGTGGGAGCTAGGTCCCGAGTGCGGAGGCTGGGGGCGGTTAACACGGGGTGGAGAGATGGAGCCAAAGAAGGACAGGCGGCCCGAGAGCAGCTGGGATCGCGGACCGTGGTTTCTGTACCCAGAAAATGGGAAACTGAGTTCATGACTGCACAAGGGAGCATGTGCGCCCCTCCCCCCAGTGCAGCACGTAGTGGTGCCGGACCAGCATGTTGCCCTGTTGCCCCTAATAATAAGGTGGCTGGCAGGTCCTGCCTGCTCACAAAGGGGCAGCCGGCGCTGAGCACTTAACCAGCATCTCGTTTATCTTTTACAACACCCTGTGAGTGACTCCTCGGGATCGGGGCACTGGTGGGCACCAGGCTAGAGCAGGGTCTTGGAGGCTCCTATTGGGCCCAGCATTAACCCTTTAGATACCAGGGGGTCGGAGGTGGGGGGGCATACTAAGGGTTATTTGCCAACTGGTAGGGAGGGAGGAAATGGTTAAGCGCTCAACTACTAGCCAAAAGGTTGATGATTCAAGCCCACTCAGAGATGCCTTGAAAGAAAGGCTTGGCAATCTGCTTCCGAAAGGTCACACCCTGGAAAACCTTCTGGGACATTTTCTGCACACGTGGAGTCGCCATGAGTTGGAATCGACTTCTTGGCAACTCAACAACAGGTAGGGCCCTCCAGGTCTCCCCTGTATATCAGTCCTGCCTGTTGGGTATCACTCTCCCGGTTTGACGTCCACCCTGAGCGTTTGCCCCATGCATGCTGCTGGGTTCCGGGCACTGTCTGAGGCCCTGGGAACAGCTGAAGAACAGGACCAGGCAGGCCCCTGCCCTCACGGAGCCCTTACCTTCCAGCCCACAGGGTAACTCAAGGGCCCGTTTCAGGAGCAGTAGGTGCTATGAAGAGGCCACTAACGAGGGGAGAGGCCGGTGGGGAGCTGGGAGCATGGATTTGGGATGGTCAGGGGAGGCCTCCTTGCGGAGGCGACTTTGAGCTGAGACCAAAATGTTAATGAGGAGATGGTCTCACAGAATTCTCAAGGAACAGCCCCAACTCATGGCGACTCCACATGTGCATAGTAGAACTGTCCCATAAGGTTTTCCAGGCTGTGACCATTCGGAAGTAGATTGCCAGACCTTTCTTCCACGGCACCTCTGTGTGGGTCCTAATCACCAACGTTTTGGCTAGTAGTTGAGTGCCTAACCATTTCTTCCCTACCTACTGGTTGGCAAATAGCCCTTCCCCCCCCAGGCAGAAGGACTAGCAAGCACAAAGGCCTGAGAGGGCAACAAGCTTGACATATTTGAGGGACGGAAGTAAGACCTGTGTAGTTAAATTATCAAGGTCCCTGGGTGGTGCAAATGATTTGCGATCAGCTACTAATCTAAAAGTTGGTGGTTCAAATCCAGTGACGCCATGGAAGAAAGGCCTGGAGATCTGCTTCTGTAAGATTACAGCCAAGAAAAACCAATGGAGCAGTTCTACTCTGTAACTCCTGGGGTCGCCATGAGTTGGAATCGACTCAAGGGCAATCGGTTTGTTTTTTCAGGTTTTTAAATAAATCATCACAAGAGACAGGGAGAGTGGGAAAAGATGAGGATGGAGAGAAATGGTGCGGCCAGAACTCAAAACTCCTAGCACAGCCCAAGGGTTAGCTCAAACACAAACCTGAACCTCCATGCTACTCTCTGTCCCCTAAACTTTGTCCTAAATCTTAACCCTAATCTCAAACTTGCACGTCAATTCTGAGCAACCTGAACCCTGACACCCGTTTTTCATTCACTTCTTCACCATCTATTGAGGCCTCTGATGTGTAGCATTCTGTTGTGATCCATAGGGTGTTTCATGGACTCAAACATACCAACGGTCGTGAAGATGGCGCAGGACTGGGAAACGTTTTGTTCTGTTACACGTGGGGTCGCCATGAGCTGGAGTCAACTCAACAGCAACCAACAACAGCATAATGTGCTGGAAACTGTATTAGGTGAGTGGGGATACACTGAACCTGGGAACCATCAATAGCAGTGGAGGTTCAAAAGGTATTTTCACTATGTCAAAAACCAAATGGAAATTATATATTTCCTTTGGGATGGGGTTTCAGAGGTTAACACACATCACATTTTCCTGCTTCAGGCTGTAATTTATGTATATATATATATACATATGTATATGTATATTTTAATTCACTCAGTGTGTTAACTGTGCTTGTCTCGCCCTGATCAGAAGTTCTGGTCGGCGATTAGGGATATCTATGATAAATAAAATATGAGGAAATGAATTAACTTTGACTTAGCATAGTTCGGTTCGGTAGGAAAAGTCTTTCAATGTGAGATTCACAGGGGACAATGGCTAACGGTATCACCACCAACCCAATGAAAAAAAGTGTATGTTTTTCAATACACTTATATTGGTCCCTAGGTGGCACAAACGGTTTGTGCTCAACTGTTAAGCTAAAGGTTAGCAGTTCAAACCCATCCAGGGGAACCGCAGAAAGCAGGCTTGGCGATCTGCTTCTGATGAGATTACAGCTAAGGAAACCTTATGAGGCAGTTCGACTCTGTAACACACGGGGTCGCCATGAGTTGGAATTGACTCGACAGCAACTTACAGCAACAACTACATATTGAGCAACTACCAAAAAGCAAACCAAACTGGTGGCTGTCAAGTCAATTCCGACTCATAGTGACCCTACAGGACATAGCAGAACTGCCCCATCGGGTCTTCAAGGAGCAGCTGGTGGATTCGAACTGCCTTTTGGTTAGCAGCCAAGCGTTTTAATTTAATTTTATTTTTTTCCGTACAAAAAATTATACATACATTGTTATGTGACTCTAATTGCTCTCCCCATACTGTGACAGCACACTCCTCCTTTCCACCCCTGATTC